CGGCCGGCTCCTCCGGGGGAGGGGGAGGGGCCGCAGGGGCGAGGCCCCAGCACTCACCAGCTCACGGCAACCGACCCCGGTGCCACTGCTAGGTGAGCTGCTCGGTCGCTCGTCGGCCGGACCTCTTCTGAGCACAACCCCAAAAAGCCGGCCAGCGCCGCCGCGGTGCTCGCCAGGCCTCGCTCGCCGCCGTCGCGCACCGAGCAGCCAGACCCAGATCAGCCGGCGTTCACAGCGCGCCTGCGTGCGGGGGCCTGGCCTCGCGCCTGCGTGCGCCACCCCACCGCTCCTCCGCTGAGGCTGCCGGGAAACGTAGTCTTCCAGTGGTCGGAACCGAGGTCTGAACGGCCCTCCCCTTTAACCTCCACCGGCGTGGAGTATGACACAGTATTCGCAATCGCGGACAAGGGTGTCAGCATCGTGAAGGAGTGACAGAAATGGCACTTCTTTTGCAAAATTTATGTTTACAACTGGTCTTAATAAGCCTTTCCAGGGCAGATGTAGCCTCACTCGCCGCTCTCTATAGCTAGCCTCTGACATGCAAGTACCTAATATATGTTTAATGAATGAGTGATGAAAATGATTGAAGTCCGAGAGAGCATTTAAAAAGTATTAAAAGTGAGTGCCCTCAAATATAAGGCGTTCACATGCCGTATAGTGGCAAGACGCTCCTGTGCATTCTTTATCTAATTCATTCCTATCCCCAATGCATGACAATATATGAATAAGAAATCAATGAAACACACATAATTGTCTCATTAAGCGCTCTCAAATGAAAACTTAGAGCATGAAAAAATATTAGATTTAATAGAAATCCTTTTGAGAACGCAAGTAGAACAGTAGATTCAGAAGAAGAAAGACAAAAGACAAGTTAAAAGAGATCGTGGAATAGGAAGTTACTTAGAAGTACTACCAATCAAATCAATTTAAAACACATGGAAAAGCGAGGGAAATTTGGGGCCTGTTAATAACATAGATGAGGGAATGAGGAGAGGCCCATACTATCTGAATCTTGAACTAGGCATTGTCCTGCATCTCTGCCTGCCATATCAGCTTGCCCACTAATGATGTGTTTACCAGGATCAGACTTGAAGTTTGAGCAAGGGAGTTGGGGAAGTGAAAGGTGCTTATGGGAGAGACTTAGCTCACTCCATGCACAAGAATAAACTCAAGGTGGATCACAGACCTCAAGGTAAAACCCCAAACTATTGGGGTCATCAATGAGGGAATTGGGACAAACCTAAGAAGGTTGGCACAGGGAATACACAGGCTATCAAAAACAGGGAAGGACATAAACACAGAGGCACAAATTGACAAGTGGGATATACTCAAGATAAAACATGTGTACATCAAAAGAATTCGCCAAGAGAGTAATAAGAGAACCCACAGACTGGGAAAACATCTTTACCAATGAGACTTCAGACAAAGGCCTTATTACTAAAATCTACAATACTTACCCATTTATAAACTATCAAGGGCTCATGCGGGAGGGGGGAGCGGGGAGGGAGGGGAAAAATGAGGACCTAATGTCGGGGGTTTAAATGGAGAGA